TATCGTGACTAGTGTCGTTGCTCTTGTCGGAGCCTATGTTGGCGATCATTATTGGGCCTATGCAGATCCTTTAGGGGCTATTTGCGTTTGGTAAGCCATTTACCAGTAAGCATTTACGTTCGTTTTAAAGTCCGAACTTTAACAGTAAAACTTCGCTTTCTCGTTATAGAATATTACACATTTATGACACCTAATTTTCAATTTTATCTTTATTTTAGTTCATTTATTGCGTTCTCGTGGTTTTACAACGCCATTGATAACATACCAATGATGGTAGGGAAAAGGGCTGAACAAGAAAACCTGTCACGGATTATTCGACTCTGCATGGAACACGATTCAAACATTAAATGTCTCGACCACGTTATGGTGTATCACACGGGGGCTAAAACAATTGTCGAAATACACGCCGTCTTGGACGAAAGATTGCCTTTAAAAACAACCCATGACATTATTGAAAGCTTAACAAAAAAAGTTTCTGCACTTCCATTTGTTGAACGCGCCTTCGTGCATTCAGATTACTGCTGCGATTACGACTGGTTATCGTAACATCGCTAGTTCCCAACTCTTCACTCAAGTCTTTACTGTCATACACTTTTTTTCTGACTTGGAGAAGTATAAAGTTAATTACCTTTCTCAAACTTTTAAAAGGAAGTTTTGGCAAACTGCGGATGTGTATAATGGAAAGCGGAGAAGCGCGCGATAACACGTCATAGCATTGTTTGCGGAACGCTGCAGTGAGCCTGGGCCTTGAGAAACGAGGTAATCTGTAAAGACGGCTGCGCCGATGTCCTTAAAGTTAAAGAATTTTTGGGCAGACCACTAAAAGCAAATTCTAAGTCTTAGACTTATATCAAGTTTGAAGGATAAACATTTGGGAGAAGCTCAGAGAATGGGCATGCGGCAGCAGTTGTAACATTTGAATTTGGAACTGCATTTGCTTCGAACACCATTGTTAGGGGTTGCTAAAGTTTTGTTTTCTAATTATAGGAAAGTTTAGAACACATAAGATAATTGTTTTTTTTTCAATTAACTTTTTTTTTGAACTGTAAGCGTATAATTTTTGCTCTTTATTTCCTAAATGTCTTTTAATGTAATACTTAAGAAAAATAACATAATTTATGAGTAAGGTCACAGTTCAGGAGTATCAGTGTAATTGCGTCGATATACTTTGCAGTTTATGTTGATACGCCATGGTTTAAGCATAACGAAATAGGATAGAGGGCCTATACTATTTAGAAGCTACTTCTGCTAAGAAACTGGGAGCCTGACGACATCGACTAATAATTGTATAATCTTCGAGAAAGGTATAACTGAAATCACAAATCTTTCTGAATTTGTAAAATATTGACCACTTTCGTTCCAAATTTGTCCCTTCTCAATCCTCTTGAGTTGTACACGAGAAATTTTCTGTAGATTAGCAAAGAAAGCGAAGTGTAGTCATTCTCTGTAACTAAACACCTTATTGTCGCAAAACGTGACGTCCAGTTACAATTTCAATTTTCAGCGTAGTATAACGTTAGCAGTATGGTAATCAGCAAATACTACTGTGCTGGCTTACGGTATTGTAAATCATTGTTCTTAATCGAAATCATGATTTAATTTCTCAGCCGTAGGCGGAAATTGCATTGCAGAAAACAAAAGTCAAGTTTAATGAAAAGTCAGTGTTAAAAGCGTCAGCATTAGCGGAAAGCATTATCTGTTACAAACCACTGACAGAGACTCTGTTAAAATTGAGTGGTTACTGAGTCTAACTTTTGTAGTATAGTATAATGTTTCAACTTTTTTTTTACCCTTTAGTATTTCTATGGCTTCGTTTCAAATACATTTTTTACTCATGTCTATCAGGCTGCTTTAGGCTCGAGCTCTGAAAACTTAAGTTTATGGTCAATTCTGTATTCCACTGTATTATTTTATTCTCACGCTTTTTTGTTTTTT